CCCATCTAGTCATTTGTTATAAGGGTTATATAGATATCTATTTATATTCGAATTGATACTAGCCTGTCGGGGGTCGACTTATAATATAAGTCGAATTAGGCATCTCATGTGAAAAACAATATCAGATCACTGATGATAGACATGAAGAAAATTCTTGCTTCATATGCCATCTATATGTTATTTATCTCTCTTTTCTTCTTATTGGTTATCATAATCAACGATGCAATTTTTTTTTCTGTTCTATTCTTATTCTCTATATTGACAGTATGACTAAACGACACGAGTACCGAATCAACTAAACTTTTTTTCTTTATCAGTCTTTGTCAGAACAGACTATCCATCGTTATCGATAGGCAGTTTACCTTGTAAAGAAGCCTTGACGCATACACATACAAAGAGCGAAGAAATCGATCCAAGAACATATTAATCATCTGGAATTGACTTGGAAAAATCTTCTTTGTATTATACATAGAAGATGGTCAATTGTAGACAATTGTATGAGAATGTTTTTCCTTGGAATTCAAACTGTATGTTTAACAGATTAGGAACATGGAACTATTTGAAAATACAATTTGTCTATAATATACTTCAATGTATTTTTTCTTCGTCCACAAATAATCCATAACATAATTATTATGATTTATTTCTGGAATTTTTACGAGAATATAACATTATTATACTTTACTATTATTGTCGCATGGTCACATTTTATTGTTGAATTATTATTCGTCGCTAAAAAAGCGTAGCTCATCACTTCGATATCGATTGATCGTATTTTCCTTACTTATTTGTCATTTTGCTGCACATATGTTCATTTTCTCATTATGGCGGCGACAATTCACACGAATTCAATTTGTATTTAATGTATACATTGCATGTTGTGAATTTTACTATTTAATTGATATAATTTCGTTTATCATTCGATTTCAAGATGGTAGATATATACTTTTATCTCTGTTTGGATGGAAACATGGCTGTAAAGTTAAGTGGGTAACAGACATTGATGTAGCCAAACAAGTATTACTTAATTCGGTCGATAAAGGTTCATTTCTTGAAGAAAAACTTTTTGCTCCAGCTTGGTTACCTGTTCTTTCACTTGAATCTGTCAATGGAAAAGCTTGGAATGATTTAAAATCGAAATTTATAATATTTCAAAAGCATCTTCCACCTGTAGAAAATCTAGTCGCTGCTGCACGTCACATTTTATCGACACAAGATCCAAATATCGAAATTGATGCAAAAGAAGTTGTTCGTATAACAGTAGCTTGTTTTATTAAATGGATCTTCAATTTAGATTGGGATATCAAATGGAATTTCGTTTGTGAAGCATCATGGGAATGGCGTAAAGAAATAGCCGCCAAAGGAAGAGGCAACATACAAATAAAACATCAAACAATTGAATGGTTAATTAACTTGATAAATCATTCCGAATATTATCGATTATTTGGTGAACAATGGTCTAATCCTGAATATTATTCAATCATTATGCAACCATTTATTTTATCACCGATGATAAATATTAGTGATGTTGCAGTGTCAGCGTATCGTCATCCAGGTATGTCTATTCAAGAATTTATTCATTATTATCATCCATTTCCAATAATGGAACGATATATTGAGAAAGATTTTGTAAAACATAATAATAATGGTGATCCTATTATCCTTATCAAAGGCAATACTCAAGTGTTTATTCCATTGGATACAATTGGACAATGTGAACAATACAGATCTAGTTTATGGACACCATTTGGTATTGGACCCAGAAAATGTCAAGGTTCACAGTATGCACTTCCTCTTCTTACGGAACTTATGAGTTATTATAAAGATAATCCACAATTTATGCCTGGAAAGAACCATAGATATAGTGGAAGAAACAACGATCATTTATCATTTAGTGAATCAATTTATCAACTTATTCTGTTCATTAAAGTATTTATTCGTAATTGATCGATAGATATATATATATATCCCATGCAATATCATTATTTATAATATAAGAACACTACTGTCGATCAATCTTTTAATAACTAAATTATTAAACTACCAAAGCCACTCTTTGTTACTTTTTACTTTAGAATTCGTGATAAATTTAATTTAGCTAAACAATTTGATATTATCATATATAGGTTATACATTCATCTACCCTCAATATTTCTAATTTTAGCTGTTATTCATTCATTATTGATTCTTTATCATCTATTCTTTTCGATCGAACATGTCTGTTCGTTAGACAAAATGAAATCAAAGGATTTATTACAAACTACAAATATTATAGTTAGACTTAACGTTTTCTTAGAGTGATGTACGGTTTGAATTTTCGATAAATGTTTCCTCATCTTGTACAAATGATAGACTGTCTCCAAGTATAGCATGAACTTTCTCCAGTTGTTCTTTATGCTTTTGCAATTGTTTTCGTTTCCGTCGGGTTAACTTGTCTTCGGCCAGGTGTTGATCGACAAAGTTTGTCTATTCTGCGAGAAATTTTCTCAAACGATCACTTATTCCCGAACATGTATCAAACACACATGCGGCACGCAAAGTTAGTGCAATATTATCGATGCAGCGTTTGACCAATAATTTCCAGTGGGCATACATACTAATGAGCATGTCTTGTGCTGCATAATCATCATCATTATTGTCTTTATCATCAGTGACTTTTTTGGAATTCGTTTTATCTTTCGAATTTTGCAATTTACGTTCTGCTTCATACTCACGCAATAGATTGATTTTAGTCATGTAGTAATGATTTAGCGTGTATGACTCGAGCTTATTCAGTCGAATCATTTCATGAAATTGGTTGGAAATGATTCCTTTTTTCTCTAGATATTTTCTACCATAATATAGGGTGTGTGAGGGTGTGGGGTGGGTGAGGGTGTCTATTTTTAAAGATTTTTTTGATGTTTTGAGGGTGAAGAAAGGACTTTTTTGAAAATTTTATTTTTGGAGCCGATAGAGCTGATCAAGTTGTACTTGGATCCAGTGTTGGTTCGATTGGAACCTACGCTGAAACGAATCGGCTCAAGAAAATGTCGAATTCTGCCCGAATGTATCCTCCGTACACCCAATCATGATCATAAATATTCTTATATTGAACATATAAGAAGTAAGAATTTAGAGGAATGGATGAATTTGTATGGTTTTAGTAGCGAGGAATTATGATTAATACAATCATCATATGAACAGATGGGAAATTAAAAAACCAGAAGCCACAAAAACTCCTACCCCTGGATGTGAGAAAAATGAATCGGAAGAATTGTAAATCAAACTGAACTAAAACAATTTCTCCTGTGGAAGACTATGATCTACATCCGACATTTTCCAGTACTATATACTGAAAACTAAATCATAATTTCCCTGTGCACTATAAAATAGAATAATTATTTGAAGACACTTAATGTTCTCTCTTTTTTAATAGCCATTGATAATATCCTCAAGCTAAATCAAATGTATTCTGTTTCTAATGCTTCATCGTAAAGCTCCATGTCTTTAAAAGTAAACGTCGATCTCTGATTACAAATGATCCGAAATAACCAGGAAAAAAATAGTTGAAAATGAAACTATTCTGCAAAATCAATACCATTCTCGAATATATTGATGACTTATTCATAAAGCTCAATCCTTCACTAGTCATTCCATCATCAGTTGGTGTTTTCTTCGATCGTCTATGATACAAAGTGCAAATACTCGCGTGTATTACAATCGATCCATGAACAATAAGAATAAAATATCAAACTGAAAGGACTGTAAATATGTTACTCTTATTAACCAACTTTATTTGTAAATAAATTACATTAAAGAAACATCATCATTGATATGATTGACTAGATGCACGAATATTTTAATTTTTCTTGCAAATATTTCGAATGTTCTTCAATGGAAAACTTTTTAACGCTATTGCTTGTTCACTTTTCCATTCTCCTGTTCGACAAAAACGAGCAAAACTTTCACAATTTAATCGAAGAAGATGAAATTTACAACTATAAGGCTTTTCCAACATTTCTTTTGCATGTTGACAAGTTTCTTGTTGTTTCTCAAATGTATCATTTTCATAATGAACTAAATATAATTGTCGGTTCTTTGAAGCAACTCTATGACTACTACCAGAAACAAATGTTGATAAATCAGTTGTTTGAATATGTGCTTCTCGTTTCTTATGTCCCCAAAAATGAACGATTAAGATTTCGTCCGTCGTTGGATCAATAACAATACCATGATGAAAATAATCATGAGGATTTCCAGTAGCTATATGAGCACCAGGATAGAGACGACTTTGAGCAACATCCATATCGATATGTTCAGAGTTTTCTGGTTGAAAATCGATATTAAGAATTCGAAAGATTATAGGGAGAAACTTCATTATCTAAAACATAATAAAAAAGAGCAATGACGCAGTATTGTCGATACTATTGACTTTTTGCTCTTATTGCCCCACCCAAATGTTTACTTAATCGTATTGGATACAAAACAAAATATATTTATCGAATGATCATTATTAAAGGTAAAAACGATAAATAGATGTCTTTCATAATCAATGATATCGAAAAAAGAGAGTTCAAGATTTATCGGAAGATAATGATTCTTGTCAAATGTCATGAGCACGTTGAAAATATGATACTGCTATTGAATCAATATTATTGAAATATTCCGATAGATCGATATGATTCTCCGGAGGAATCAGTTGGGCAATTTCAAATGCTTGTTCATAGTATAGAGGTGCTTTTAAGAAGTCACTCATGATAAAGCACGTCAAACCAATATTATTTAATGCTTTCTCGTGTGATAATAATGATTTTAAGATTTATTATAATATTCAAGTGCTTTAGAATATTCACCCATGTTTTCATAAAGTCCATCAAGATTATTATATGATAAAACTAACTGTGGAGGAAGAATTTTTTGATAAATATTAAGTGATTTCATGTGATAATGATAGACTTCTGAATAACGATCTAAATCTGTATATACTGAAGCAATGTTATTATAGAGAGTAGATAAAACATAGTCATTTGGTCTGTTCTGTTTTTGTTCAATATGACATGCCATTTCATTGGTAAACTTTTTTGAATGTTTATACATTTTTCATAGAATAGAATAGCATCTTTATAATGAGTTTGATAATCATTGATGACCCCAATTTGACCAAAATATGCAGTTTTTCATGATCAGTAGATACTGAATTCGATATAATTCTTTAGCTTTATCATATTCTCCATCTATATCATGAATGAGTGATATTATATAACAACTAAAAGTACTAGATAGAACCAGAAACACTTTTTCGTGTTTGATGTCAGTAACGAAATCAATACAATTATCGACATCATGAAATGTATCGACGATATTGGCAATATTTTGTAGTTGCTTAAGTTTATCATGATGAGTATAATCTTTCTGATTGGTATTTGAATCGAGGCAGATAATATAAAAGTTTTGAAGAATACGGTTTGATACCATATTGTATAATAATACCAAATTTTTTTTTATTTTGTAAATAATTGAAGCGTATCATTCTTTCTCTCTCAAAATTTATCAAGCGTAGTTCGAATGTTTATAATGATTGCCATGTGACTTATTCTGTTCGTTCGCCTACGTCAATATACGTGTATATGTATATATTCAATAAGTGGAAAAATAACAACGACGGAATACATAATTACAGAATTATGTATTAGATATTGTACAGTGATTATGATGAGTTTTCATCGTATTAAATTAAACTGACTACTCACTCCTCCTTTTTGAGAAAAAATTAAATAACTAATTTCGACACAAGAATCATTAAGTCTATTTTCAACGTGACGAATGAATGCATCACTCTCTTTTGAAAAATATTGTAAAGTTCATTATTGAGATCTTCTTTTTGAGAAAAAAAAAGAATTCTTTCCAGTAGAGATCAATGAAAGACGATTATACATCATCGGGAATGGTCTAAAAATATTTATTTAAATCCTCTCCTTACCCTTTGAAAAGCACTCCCTTCGTTTATTCACGCAGTGATGCATGCATGTATTTGAAAGGATTGCTTATTTGTTACTGAGCATGCAGTTAGCGTTTGGTGATATTGTGAGTTACAAATATACATTTCTCTTTTTTTTCAAAAGTTTCTGTTATGAAACTTAAATTGCTTTAAGTGTGAAACAGACGAGACGTTCTAATCCTTAATTTATTAGAATTTCTCGAAAAGTAAGCAACTTGTTTTTCTTGCTAATAATCTTCGCGAAGTTCTATGGCTTATTTTTACGAATTGCTCGATAATGCTCATGTGCCACAATCGAAGATTTCAAGCAAATTGGATTTGGCTGAAATATATCAGGTGAAAAAGGGCCATCTTTCGGATTAAAATAAATCGTGTTTTCATTATTTGATTTTCGATAAAGTGCAGCTGGATAACATCCTGTTGTAGTTGATTGAAAGAAGAAATCTCCATTCTTCCACTGATTACAATATCGCGATCTTCCACTTAAACACGACGTATTACTGATTTGAAAATCTTCACTTTGATTAAAAGTATTTCCATAACACCAATCATTCCAATAATCTAATCCAAATAAATGACACGTTTTGTTATTATCATTGTAATAGTATTGTTTTCCTGATGTAAAATTCATCCACATATCGTATCTGATATTCATAGAAAAGAGTGTAACACGCATCTGCTGTGATGGCTTATCGTAATAAATCAGACCCGAACTGATGTAATCGATATCCGGAATACGATGAGTGAATTGTGTTCGAAAACTCGGAGAAGTACAGCAATCATGAGGATCATTTTCATGTTTAATTGGTTGAATTTGATTGAGCGATGGTCGAGAAACTTTTTTTAAAGTTGATTTCAATTGAATATCTGAACATTGATGAAATGTTGTTCCTTTATCTTCTTCATCAGGATTATTTGTCAAATATCGAACTCTCAATACGCAAAATTCACATGGTTCACTAGGTAACTGAATTCGAATGGAAAAATTTGTTTGTGTGTTATGATTCATCGGATTATAATCATCAAAAACCATTAATCTTCGAAAATCTTCTTCGGGAGGATCAAGTCCAACAGCAAATGATATATCAAGTTGACCAGGATTTCCGGGATAATAATGATTCAAATGTTGCTGAAATAGAACAGTGTACATAGAATCAGCTTCAAGAATTGTTCGCTGTTTCGACGTAGAAGAATTAAATCCACCACAAGGAGATTGTTTCCGATAACAATCATGTGATCCCGGAGGATTTAAACTGAAATTTCCACGTTGCATCGGTTGCCATAAACAAAGATGTCCGAATAGACATGGAATGTATAAAAGTATTAATAAAACAACAACAGAATTCAAGAACATTGCTTTGAAAAGTGTGAAGAGTAGATAGATAAATTTCTAAGCACAAACAATGACAAACAAAAAGGTTTAGATATATCATAATGACTTCACAAATATTAAACTATGTAGCATTGATACGACAAAATCTTTTTCTTGTGTGATCATGATCGGAGTGCAAACTATATCTGTTATTGCTTCGTTGAATTAAAAAGAATGTTTATGAGAAAAATAAGAGATTTAATTGATCCATTTATCGTCCATCTTTAGGATGAGGACCCAATCCCCATCTCCAGTCTTCGCGTTTTTCGGCTTGTAATGTGAGTTATGTTTTAGTATCGAAGAGCGAAAGACTACTGATATTGACGCTTTTTGGCTCGGTTCGAAACAATTCATCCAAATCAATACAATCATACATTACTATATAATTCATACGCTATGTGAAAGCGGAATAAAATTTTTTTTCTTTACCATTTTCATCGTGTATCTGGCTTAAAGTTAATTCCATGATCCCAATATTCCTCTAACAAATTAAAAATTCATCAGTACATATATTTAGCTGGTCTCGTATCATTTATGAAAATCAGAATGTGCCTATTTGGAACTTGATATCTTCTTTTAATCATTAATTTCACCCTCACATCCTCACCCTTGTGTGCACCGTATTTTGCATTTTAGCTGTCCTGCGAAGAATTGTAAAAAACGAGTGCACATGGTTTCTATCTATCACGGAGTTATTTTATCGGAGAGAGAAAAAAAGAACCCGTTGATTTTTAAATTTCTCTTCTTCTGCTATGACGACATGTCTTTACGAGTGGGAAAAAATGAAAATTTCGCATTCCTTGTAACAACTCAAAACAGTATAACGATATACAAAAAATGCGCCGAGCTTTATCACCCACGGTTAAAAGCTCTCTTTCATGTCCATTAGCAAAGCGACCGTAAGGATATTTTATTCATTGTGATTACTCATCCTTTCTCATTGATAGAAAGATGGAAACAACTGGACAAGAAATTGTCTCAATTCCTCGATCTTATCAAGTAGGATACACATGCTTATTTCGATTGAAATGGAAATATTTTTTAGACTGAATTGATGGAACAAGCCAAACGGGAAAATTTAGTTGTGTGCTTACCAACTGGAAGTGGAAAAACTTATATTGCAATCATGCTTATCAAAGAAATGTCGAATGAAGTTCGCAGAAGTATCGATGATGGTGGCAAACGAACTATATTTCTTGTTAAAACAGGTTTATTTTTCATGATATTCTTCATCAAATTAAATTAGTCTTTAATATCTAAGTGGCTCTTGTTCAACAACAAAGTGATTATATTTGTATTCATACGGATTTGAAAGTCGGCAAGTACTATGGGGAATTGGGTGTTGATCTCTGGGATAAATCAAAATGGATGAATGAATTCAAACAAAATCAAGTTTTAGTTTTCACAGCGAAAGTATTTCTTGATCTAGTTGATCATAACTATTTTCGTATGTTTTCCTCTAATTTCTCTTAAAATCTTCATACTATTGAACATTTTAGCATTGGATAAAGTAAATCTATTGATATTTGATGAATGTCATCATTCAACTGGAGAAAATTCCTATGCAGCTCTAATGAGAAGACACTATGATACATGTCTTAATCCACCACGTATTCTTGGACTTACAGCATCGATTAGTGCGAAAAAGCTCAAACCCAATAAGCTGAGTCAAGCTGCAAAAGAGATTGAAGATACTTACAGGTACCCATCTTCGATCTTTTACTAAAGAATTGACGAAGTTTGTTGAAGAGCCCGTATTGCAAGTGGTTCAGATCGAGAGGAAAGCATTCGATGTGGAACTTCAGCTAGTGTTGAACATATTATCTGTTCAAATTACAAAAAATACATAATCAATCACGATGAAAATGTTTCCATTGCTTTTGATGTAAATCTTTTGCACAAAATTCAATACAATTGAAATATTTCTTTTATATTTAGACAATTCAATCAATCCTATCGGATTTAAAATCGTATTTGAACGAGAAAAAAGAGGAACGTCAACAACGTGAAAGTGACCTGAGTGAGATTATACTGAATACTGATTATCTCAATGAGAACGTTACTGATTATAACAGTGCATCGATCGATTACACGATTTTTCTTCAATCGGAATATGTAAATATTCCTCGACTTCATCGTTATCTTGAGCAATTAGTTCATCTTGGTTATGAATTAGGCCTTTACGGATTTTTCATAGCAGCAAAAGCTCTTCAAAAACTTTTACAATCCCCTCGAATCTCCGTTTCGAACATTGATCCGCAAAGAACACAACTATTCAACGAAGCGATACAACGGATCGATTGTCTCGTTGATGACATTCTTCAGGGTTTATTCGATTTCTATCAAAATGATAATAATGTCTTATTCAGCTCGAAAGTTCACAAATTGTTTCAACGTATTCTCAAGGATATTGAACATGAAAATCTAAGCCGATGTATTGTTTTTGTCGAGCGCATTTACACAGCCAGTACTTTGGTTGAAGTTTTACCTGAGCTAAGCAAAAGATTATCACCGGCGAATACTGATCGATTCAAAGTCAAATATGTGACAGGTCCACGAGCCAATGTTGGCAATGCGAAAATGAACGCGAAATATCTGGTGAGACAGATATTCTTCTCCCTAAAATATTTTTTCCGTTCTGTTTTAGCGTCAAATTCTAAAAGAATTTCGCGATGGCGATATCAATATTCTTGTCAGCACAGCAGTAGCTGAGGAAGGTGTTGACATTCCTAAATGTAATCTCGTATTTCGATTCAATAAACCAGCGAATTTCGCTTCGTATATGCAATCGAAGGGCCGCGCCCGTGCAAAAGATAAAGCTGCATATGTTCTTCTGATCGACGACATAGACGAAAAACAAATGTCGTCAGATTGTCAAACTTACGAACAAATCGTTACGGTAAGTTCAATTCGCGTGGATCGCTTGAAAATATTTCACAATTAGATGATTCAAACGGGATTTTCCATTAATGATGATGATGGTGATTTTGATGGAAAAGATTTGGAACAGTTGGAACCTTATAAAACTGAACATGGAGTTGTCATTAGTGCAACACGTGCTGCAGAGATTATTTACCAGTAGGCTTCATTGGAAGAATTTGATGAAAAACGAGATTTCTATTAAAGATATTGTGCTGTTCTTGGTAATGGTCAACTTTGTCCACCGCGATTACTTTTTTCTCCAACTGATCATAAAACTTTTGTCGGTATTCTCTCAATGCCATCGAATTGTCCTGTTTCTGATGATATTGTTGTAAGTTCATCTCGCATCGAAGTGCGTTTCTGCTTATTTTAACTTTCAGTGCGAAAAATCGAGTAAAAAATTGGCGAAATTTCAATGTTGTTTAAAAATGGTTGAGTTGCTTCACCAAAAGGGTAAATATCGATAATTTTGTTTGCAAAATATCTGAAACTGTGCTTTTTTTAAAGGAGAATTAAATGAAGATTGTTTACCGTATCGCATGAAGATGAATGAAGCAGATGAGAGTCCCATCGCAAATAAATTATTCGAAAAGAAAGGCGATTCTACTACAGAAATATTCCCAAGACAGGTTATTTCAAATCACCAGCTAATAGTCAATTAAAGTATCAAACGAGTTTTTAGATGATTTCATTTCCACCTTTGCTTACTGATCTATCAAACACTTGGTTTCTCTATCAAGTAAATGTCGGATCCGGAAACGATCAACTTGGCTTTGTCGTTCCATCAAAATTGCTTGATGTAAATCAGATTTCGATCTTTCTTTTACCGTGCACTTCACTTTGTCTTTCAGTTACCAGCTTTCAATCTCTATGGAACTGCGAATGAAATCTTTCTTGTAAAGATCGTCTATCTTCAATCGATTGATTTCCCGAAATACAAAGAAGACCTCGAACATTTCAATTGTTATTTATTTGAAAGTATTTTCGATGAAATAACAAATGCTTCAGGACCAATTCTTCAATTTCATATTGAACAATCTCCGTTTAAATTATTACCCTGTTTGATAAAGGATAATTTAATCGACACTGAACGAATGCTTTCGATTTGTCATCGATCAAATTCATCGATTGAACATTATTCACAACTATCGAACGAAGAATTGTACATCGTCCAACATTCATTGCAGAAAATATTTTATATGAAAATCAAAGATGCTGTCCCAACAAAACGAACTTCGGATTTATGGGAACACGAAAAAGAATCAGATTTAATCAAAACTTACGCTGATTATTTTCAACACAAATATCCAAATATTCATATTCATCAAGATTCAATCATGGCACCAATGAAAATGATGAGTAAACCACGAAATGATTACCTTTATCCACCAACTTCACATGCCAAAACGTCGATTCCGATATTAACAAATCGAATTTTGTATTTTCCGATTGAATTCCTTCGTTATGCACCATTGAATTATCCTGATCTAGAATTGTTGAAACAATTACCGAGTATTCTTGTTCGCATCACTCAAATACATTACACAGAACAGTTACGAATCCTGTTAACCACTCATCTCAATTCTTATTCCGTACGAAGAAATTTTCTTTGCTTAGATCGATGCATAATCTTTTGTAAATTTATAGTTGATCAATGTCTCACAAATACCAACGCCAATAACTTTTGTTGATTGTCTCCAAACAATGACACGCGCTTCACTTCCATTGACTAAGATCTTTGCTGAGCGCACGGACGTTCAACTCACTCCTGATATTGTATTCCAATCGATAACACGCCGTTCGACCGGTGAACCAATGAATAACGAAAATCTCGAAATTCTCGGCGATTGTTTCCTCAAATTCTCTGTCTCCATGTCATTGTATATTCGTTATCCATCAGCTGGCGCGGGTCGACTGACATCCAAGAAGAAACATCAAATCTCCAATGAAAATCTTTATCGATTAGCCGTACAAAATAATCTAAAGGACTATTTATATGCAAAGAAAATTGTCTTTCGAGGTAAAGAAGCGAATTGGTTACCGCCGGGCTACAAAACTAATCTTCAACAATATACTCATCAAAATGCGAAACGAAAAACGTTTAGTGATATGATCGAAGCGTTGATTGGTGCGTTTCTGATCCGAAGTGATTACGTGACAACACTGAAATTTATGAAATGGCTTGGAATTGATGTCGTTTCGGACCAGACGATGCAAATTCCATCGATTTTTCGTGTTCAGACATCGAGTTTGACTGATGACGAAGCAAATCGTTTGTGTGAAATAATTTACACTGATCGAGCTTTTGCAGAAATCGAAACGAAAATTAATTATCAATTTCATAATAAGGCTTATCTAGTTGCAGCCTTTACTCACCCGTCGAATTTTACCAATCGAGTAACACATTGTTATGAACGGTAAACCTTTTTTTCGTCTATATAATGTATTTGAATCAATAAAGTTTTGTTTAGATTAGAGTTCCTCGGTGATGCCGTTCTGGATTTTCTAATTACACGATACATATTCGTTGAATATCCTCAAACAATTACACCGGGTAAATACAACAATTCTCTCATTGCAGTTGTTTTTACAAATCGATTCAGGTCGAGTAACGGACATTCGGCAAGATCTGTCAAACAACGGAAGATTGGCATATATTTTAGTAGCATGTGATTTACAAACAAAGATTTTGCACAATTCAGCAGATTTATTCGGGGAAATCTCATCATACGCTGGTGATGAAGATCTTTTCCCGCCAGATCAAACAACTAAGCAATATTTGAATAAAGTAATGCGTTAAATATTAATGGGAGTTAATGACCCAATTTCCCGGTGTTTAGAATCTTGATCAATGGGCGAATACAACAGCTCCGAAAGCATTAGCTGACGTATTTGAAGCACTTGTCGGTGCTGTTTTTCTCGATTCAGACAATTCTCTGGAGGTTGTTTGGAAAGTGATTGAACCATTACTTCGAAGCTACATTGGTATTTCATTCGATTACAATGAATTCCTCTTTTAATGAGCACTTTTACCTAGATCAAACGGTTCAGCATCCAAATTTGAATCCGATTCGATTATTGGCAGAGCGTGGTGGGAAAGTTATTGAGTAAGTTTTCATCTGTTTTTGTCAAATGAGTAATTTTTCCCTTCTAAATGGTCTATTATGTATAGAGAGTCTACGGAGGAGATTGATGGTCGGACGATATCAATTTGCATTGTTCAGATGTCAAATGGATCTACTTTTAAAGGTTTTGGAACAAAAAGAAAAGCAGCGAAAGTTAATGCTTGTGAAAAAGCGATTAAACAAATTCCAGAATAAATCGAATCAAATTTCGACGATTTGTTTTCTGTGTAGATACTGTTGCTAGAAATGAAAATGTGTTCTAGTCGTCGTCCACACTACAAATACTCCCGAATGAAATCCTAATTGAATATCGGTTCATATTTCACTGCGCCCGATGAATCTTCTTCTCTCTCTTGGAATATTTGAGTTTTATAATAAATTTCGATGTAGTTATGAATCTCGATCAGTATCCACTACAACATGTCTTGAAAAGCAAAATCAAGAAGAAAATAGTAACGAGGAACATAGACAGAAATATGTTGCAAAAAGAAATGCTCATGCTTTCAAATCATTTCTCGTTCACCACAGATTTAAACAAAAATCGTGCTTTCAAGCGAATTTCTACGCTTTCCATCATCCAGTTTATTCAGAATAGCTTCCGTCGCGATCACGCATACAAAGCTGATTTGACTGAATTTCATCCAAATCTATTAGCTCGTACACATCCTCATAATCTCCATTCATTTTTATCTATCACTAAATTTAGATTTTTTAATGAGTCTTTCAGGTATAGATAAGGAAAACTTTCTTTTACAATCATATCACGACATAATCAAAACGAAGAATCTCAATGAATGATGAAATTTATTCAACTGGTCGTATACCAAGTGGATGGTCTCTATATTATTCAGATTCGTACTCATAGGGTTTCGCATCTGGCGGCGACACTGGATCGACAAGATACGGTGAGCCATGTTTTCCAGACGAAAGAGCAACACTCTCGATGCTTGTCAATAAACTATATTGGAACGCCAGCAGTGTCACATATTTCGTGTTTTGGAGATGTTTCCTTGTTCGCCACAGAAGACAAACTATTTGCGAATGAGAGTGTGTTTCTTGCACGAAAGCTAATCAGTTTTATTTAAAAATGAAAACCAGTATGGAAAATAATCCTCGTGTCGACACTTGACATCAAGAGGACTGTGATCTGGTTTCGAATCGCTGATTACTTCTCCTGACTCGTTATGTAAGAGAAATGCTCCCCACCAGCCAAACGTACCGACAGTAATAATAGCATGATCGCACATAGCCAACGTAGCCAAATCCTCAGCTGCACTAAATGAACTCGGTGTAATAACCACGTTGTTCCTATGTGCAAATGTTTTTTGACAGTAGACTTTGTCATCGGATACTATGACAAACGTAACCAAACCGTATTTCATTTGAAAGTATGACATGGCTTGAAATATGTATTTAAGTGATGAAACACGCCGGATAGATAGGAAATCTCCTCGACGAATATGTAAACCTACTAGCGTTGAGTTACTTCTATTGTTGGTTTTGCTAAGAAAGTCATTAACTCGATCTAAAATCGACTGTTTAAAGCGTAGTTGTCGTCTCAGCTGCTGTTTGTAATCGACGAAATACTTATATACTTGCCAATATCCAGATAATTCCAACGAACAAGTATAGTTAGAATAGAAAACATGAGGTAAGAAAGAACAATGGTTATCGATCTTTTCAACGAACTTTGAATCATTCGAGTATGATTTTGATAATAAACTATGAGGTAGATTTATCTCAAATGATTGACCAAGTTCAGTTATGATGGCTGGATTGATGTACAAATGACATGACCGATTGAGTGACAAACCATAAGCAGAAGCAAACATGAATAGACGATTACCAAGTCGACCGTCTTGTTTACGAAGTATAATTGTGCATTGCCTGAGTGTAATCGATCGAGTAGTATTTTTCCACGATTGCAAAGCATGAAGTACTGTTGGCTTGACATAGATCACAGAGAAGTACACAGCTATAAGAACAATGGCACTTACAATCTTGATTCCTTCGCCTGAAAACACTGTCGTCATGGGTTATGTGAAGTCAGACAAAACACGTAGCATAAGATAGACGTTAAGTTACAGAAAGTTTCCACATAACTTATTATTGTTGCTTACATCAATACAAACGAGAGATAAATTTTTGTTTAAAAATGAGTCTTACGCTTTCTTCCAGCTATAGATTCAGAAAGATACCCGACAAGTGAATGTCAACATGCACACTTCGAAACTAAATAAAGAATTTTTTTGCTTCGCCCGTTCAGTAAACATAGATGAATAAAAACAAAAGAAATCTTGTTTAAGCAGACGGTATGATGATTTTCTTTTATTTTTCAAAAAAGCCTAATAAAAGATGTAGTAGATTCTGTAATCATTTTCACACACAATTCACTAAACAACTCTAATTCACTAACTATCAATCTATAATACAATGGCAAGAAAGGGAACTGAAGCTTGCATAGCCTATTGTACATCAGTATTTAGATTTGGTGTTGCTGACAAGGTAAATAACGCTCGTCGAGAGTGACTCGCGTTACCCTCAATTGAAATAGAAGCTCAACGTACGATAGGTTTCGATCATGTCCCATACCAAAAAAAAGTAGGAATATCTAATTAGGTTTGACTTCTCGAGCTGATTTCAGGATCACTATCTTTCTATTTATTTACCGTGAAAATGGAATGAGATAGCTCCTTAAGAGTGGATAACCTGAACATTCCACCTTTATACACGTCTCCATTTTTTAACAAAACAATGAGTAGCATGAAAAAAGATACGATTATCTACAGATTTCAGAATCAATCTGCTATAATTTTTCTCATTTTTACAACAGAATATGTCACTGAGAGCAGCTTCACAACTATCTCAAATTCTGACTTTACTGTTTTATTTTATTCAGCACGACGTTTAATTGAACAATCTTTACACTAAGATAAGCAAGAAACAAGCACTAGTGACCAAGCTGCATTGATTTAATCGCGTTTGATACTTCTAAACTAAATATCACTCATACTTATTTTCGTTCGTACAAGCCTTCGAAACAAACGCTTATTGCTCACCGACCTCCCTCTGATCGGACACTCACGGCTAGTCAGTCGCTGTAATTCGAATAGGTTGGATTTTCACATGTTTGAAATACTATTTACGTTATTTATGCCTAGCTGAATCCAACAGTAGAATCAGAAACGCCCATTTGGTTTTTTTTTCAGATAATCTAACGTATAAGTCTCGTACTTAGTCTACAGTTTACTTGAAACTATCGCTAGTGATAACTATTGATAAAATTCAAACAGGCGCTCGTGCATTTTCATCTTCTTGATGGAAACTCGAGGATCAACATAAGTCATAGACAATGGCCCGCATAAAAACTAACGCCAGATTCTAGATCTCCGACGTCAATCACCTCTTGATCCTCTTTTACGCGAGTTTAGTATTAAGTATTTAATTTTCACTGGATAGGAGAGGCAAGCTTTCGGCATTTCAAGCTGATGGTTTTGACGTTTCATAATCCTTTGTTTCAGAAAAAGGAATCAACTTATCCAATTACAGTCGCTTTTCTCTACATTTACACAGTAAACATCAGCTCAAGTCCTTCTTCATTATTCATATTTTATTGTTTATATAGATAGTATGACGATTCTTGATGAAGAGATGTGCACGCTGATAGCACAACGATTTTATTTATTTCTTTCTCTCGGATAATATCGTCTTTCTTAACTACGAGCTCTTCAGATAAAATAAGAACAGTCGATAAAAATCATATGTTGTCTTGTTTTTCTTGTTATTATTATTAAAAAGTTGGAATACTCGTCAGACGTCATTTTATCTAATGAAATAATTATAAAAGAAATAGCTCAGGCGTTACCTGTCTGATAAAGGATCAAATAAAAATCATTTTCAATATTTTCAGAGGCACACAAAATTCAAATCTGTTGTTATACTTTTATTGCTTGAAGGAGAAGGAATGTGAAAATATCATAGATGTGAAAGGAAATCCTATCACAGCCGGCACCAAGGCGGTTTTGAAGGATAAAAAAGTTTCATCAATTCTGCTTTACTGAATTTTCATTTTGAAAGGATAACATACCCTCAATTATTGTAAATACTAATAACAGACTGAAAGCTAAGTTTTCCCTAAAAAATAATCTGACGTTATCGAAAAATGCACTCTTGACAATACATGACAAAGAGCATGGATATTTTATTACCAGTTCCTGATCTAATAATCTTTTAATCATATTCTTTAGCCTCGAATAACACCGACACATATTTTCTATTCAATATACGCCATTTTTGCAGATTAACGTAGGAAAGTTCTTTTCGGCTAAATGAAAATTATATATTAAATAGCCTCGGAACATGTCATCTACGTCATTCGTGCTAATGAAGAGAGTATATCTGTCAGAATCTTTCTCTTCAAAATTCATTTCCGCATTTTTCATCTTTAAATTCACTTATGTCAACTACATCAACTAACGAGGAAATTCTTCGTCTTCAAGCCATCTCAAAAATCTTTGATGGTTATGTTATACTCGTTCTTATCATCATTGGAACTATTGGAAATTCATTAAATATCATTGTTTTCCTTCGATATAAAACACTTCGACAAATGTCTAATTCTGTTTTTATGATTGCATTCTTCATTAGTAATCTCACTTCTTTATGGGCATCCCGTTTTCAACGTTCCATGCTCGCTATTACCGGTGTAGATTTACTCGTTGGCTCAATCTTTTATTGCAAAGTTCGATGGCTATTTGGTCGATGGGGCTTCAATATGGCATTTACATCTGTCTGCTTATCAAGTGCTGATCGATTTCTCAACACATCACGTAGTGAACGATATCGACGATTGATTACATTTAAACGAGCTGCTATACTTACAACTCTAAGTAGTATTGCATATATAGTCATTTTCATACCAGATGCTATTTATTATTCTGGATATCGATGTACAGCATCAGCTAGTGATCGAGCTATATATCAACAGTTCATAACATATTTTAATTTGACTATGACAAATAGCATTCCACAAGTAATTCTTGGTATTTTTTGTGTCCTTACATGGTATAATTTTTGGTCAATGCAACGTGGACGACAACGACAAAGTCAAATTCATCACGAAGTGAATCGAATGATGTTAGTTGAATTTACTGTGATCTTTCTCAGTTCAACACCCAATTTTATATATAATATATATGCACAAATTACTCAAGGATGGGTCAAGTCCAATTTACAAACAGCACAAGAAAATATTTGGAGAAATGTGTGTGTGACACTTAGTTTTGTACTGAATATTGGAACATTCTATATCTACTTTTTAATGTCTGGTGCATATAGACGAAAGGTGAAAGCAATATTCTGTTGGCAAAAACGTGTTGAAGTAACATCATGTGGTCCAAGCTTTCAAAATACGAAAGTTACTCGTCAAGTTGCAACTAACGTATATTCGCTTCAACAAAGTAGAATTGGCCCATAGTCTCTATTGTACAACTGTTATTTGTCGTATATTAGTATGTGTCTTTATATTATAGTGTGAAAGAAAGTGAAAGTGTTTTGTTGCTTTTCTGAACCTAATTTATTGTGTGTCGTATTATCATTCATCTAAAATATTAAAGGCAAAATCATATATAAATAATGCTCGTTGATGTTGACTCGCTTGGCTCTCGACTGAATAATCAGGTAAATACATAATAATCTTCCCGAATGTTTTCATTAAAATTCGAGAACTATTATCGTTATTCTTATTTACCAGACGTTTCTACATGAAAATCACTGTCTAAATGGAATGATAACTTTCTAAGAGTGATCATCATGACCTTGCTATCTTCAACTACGTCTACCTATTTTTCATCGAAACATTAATGGTGTTAAATAAGATACGACTCTCTAGAAGCTTTGAATACAAATTTGTTTGATTTATATCGCTGCGATATCAAAAGAAATCATACGGAACGGTCTTCTGCTATCCAAACTTGCCCTACAATTTTATAAGTAAACGTATCTCACTGAACACACTTAAGCGTACTAGGTCTCTCCTTACAATCGGCGAGAAAACTTTAACAAAAATACTGTAACTATTTCTCTAAGTCAAGATTTCTTAGAACCTATCACAAATCATTTTCACATGGCCTGAGGAATGATGAGAACCACATTTTACCGATCTTGCGGGTCCAAGCGTGATCCCATAGTATACTACAGGATGTGCTTGGACAAGAAATTTTTTTGATAGATTACCTTTGAACTTTGACCCGCGACAAACATACATACATAATGCCACCATGAATGAATGGTTACGTTGTCTGACACGGAGTAACAAGGCACTGTGTTCAAATCTCAGTGAGATCATTCACACGGACTACACGCTTAGCCACAATGTTAGACGTAAGTAGGTGCAGATACCGCGCTGTTTGTGAAAGCCGATATGCCGTTATTATTATTATTGTATTATACATACATGCAAATGCATTTTAGTGTTTTTACCACTTTTTTCGACATAACCCTCATTTCAGTCGAGGGAGTAAACCGTCAAATGTTCCTAAAATGAAACTCTCCAGGACGTCAGCATTATAACTAGTATACATTTCAAAGAAAAGGAATTATTTTCTCTTTTTTTTGCACACATATAAAACACATCCATATCTACAGACGATCATTTAACCATGTCGTTATCATCAATCCTAAAAGATTTACATCAATTTGATGGATTTATCTTAATCGTTTCAAGAACGATCAGTTATATTCTCAATTTCAGCGTTTTGAGTAGAAAGACTCCGCGAAAAAAGTCATGTTCAATCTACTGTATTGAGATCAATATCAGCAGTCTCTTTTTGATCTATACATCAATTTCGTACTTAATACTATCTTTGGATTATTCGATCGATCTAGCTGCGTAGAGCGTGATGTTTTGGTCGATAATTCGCATTCATTCATAAATTCTTATGAATCTGCAAACATCCACAACAGATGTCGTTACTTGTGCTTTTCAACCTAAATTATGATTACTTTAGGTTTCTGGACGTTGAAGAATATTCGCAGCACGATGAGAAACAGACGTTTGAATTCAGTGAAATCGAAAGGTCGGCAACTTGCTCGAGTTTTACTTATTAACATTAGTATTTATATTCTATTTAATCTACTTCAGCCTGCAACTCTTATCCAGCGGCAAATTATCAGATTTTACTCAAAAACTCGTGTGCACTATGGAATCGAAGGTTATGTTAATCTTTTAGCTTCGAAAATCTTTCGACGAGAATAGAAAAATATTCTTACATGCAAATACGTTCGATATTTATTATTTTGTTCAGTAAACGACCAAAAGCAAAGTACACAGATGAAATAAACCAACCTTGATTATTTGTTATATTTATTTCCAGCAGCAAAACTTCTACTTTTTACCTTAAAAACAACGTATTTATTCAGTTTATCTCAAAATAAATAAAACAATCTGGTACCACAAGAGAGAAAGAAATACTGAGAAATGTTGCAGTATACTCATACCAAATTGATAATCATTGTGTCTATTCATGTGCGAACAATGGTTCTAATAAAGTGTGCAAACGTCCGCATCTAATGCTTATATAAAAATAGAGATCATCTTTGCTTACCACAAATGGATCAGAATTGGATGGTTTTGAATGAGAAAAATATGTACACTGAGAAGAGAATCAGAACAAAAACCGAACAATTGGTATTCAATCCATTAAGTTAATATTTCTGCATATTCTTTAGTTCGATGCGAGTATACATGACACGTACAATTGCTTTCTTATGTTGATACTACTATGCCATTTACGATACTAATAGTGCTAAAAAACCGTTCAAACTAATCAATAATATCTTTGTGAGCCCATTTTCGTAAAACTCCTGTTCCGTTCAAAATAAATCCATAGCTTGTTGAGAGTCATTGACAACATAAACCTCTCAGAGTAAAAATAGACCGAAGTAAATCAGTCAATGCTTGTCGAAAAAGCTTTCCTCCGGTTAACGTAAGGATATAGAATTGCATTGCACTAGCTAAATAAGTTAATAAAAGGACGATATTGTAAATAAACATATCAATTGTAGATTGTAGTTGTGAATAAGAAGGATGAACAGTAACTGCATACAATCTTTGAATTGCTTGAGGTAGTGTTAAAATTCCGAAGATAAAAATTTGAACACATAACATTCGAAATAAACTGCGATCACCTTTTTTCGTTTGATTTGATAATTCATTCCCATTTACCACCTTAAGACGATCTTCAATCGTTGGGACCTGTAATATACGACGTTGACTTTGCTGAACATTGAAAATCGTTAATAAACCAAAAATGAACATCAACACAATGGGAACAATCGTTGTAAAACATGCAAAAGTAATATCGGCAAGCAGTTGACATTGATAGTTTTTGCGTAGCATCGAAACGGAGCGTTGATTAAATTTGCATCATAACAAAACAACAATTGTCCATAAACAATCATTAATATGAGAATAACACAAATTGCTTCTCGTTTAACGTTCCTCGTCGAACTTAATTGACGATAAGAAAATTTTGCCGATGACAACAACCATCGATCGAATAAGTTGGATCAATGACGAAACCAGATAAAACTCGAGTAATAAAAAACCGAAGACAATTGAGATAAGACTACAAATCGATGAAAGAAGAAAGAAGAAAACACAAGGAATCCAACTAAGAAGATAAGCGTTGGAAAATAACGATTAACTTCATTCGATGTGTTGATTAAAAATTTATTCAGTTCGGTATCATTTGCGAACATATTCTTCGATAATATAAAAATTTTTTTATATAAAAGTAGATTCAACCATATCAAACAAAATTACCGGAATGTCAGTAATTCTTTGTCGTAAGTAGAAAAATATGCGTTCTATATTATAATTTACAAAACGTCTCATCTTAGTTTCATAATTGAAGAAATGAATAGTTCTTGTCGGCATATAATTACAAACCGTGATAAACTTAGAAGCGAGCATATTCTACAATCAAAGTGAGTTGTAACTAACCTTTCTAGCTATCTCGCGAAAGCATCACTTCAGGTACGAGATATTCTAAGTTGATTTATACGTACGTGACTTCTACCGAGTACTATAATTTTTTTGTAAAAGGAAATGAGCACAGTTCGAAAGGATTTTTGTTATGTATCCCGCCAATTATCTCGAAATCGAGACTTTACTAGAAAATGTTGGCTCCAGAAATGACATAGATTTTTTAGAATTATAATTAACTTTTTACTGGAAAAACTAAAAATTATTCATGTGTTCGCTTGTGGAAAAAAATTTAGTATTCGATTCGCTTTACTCATTATGTTTTTTCTTCAGATTACTTCTCTGAAGCACAAAATCATACTCCCAGGCAAAGAGATCTCTCGTAGCACGAAAGATTCGCCCGCAACTACTTTCTCGTGGTGCATCCGCTTGGTGTATCGATTGAAACGATCATTTCTTTTCATGTGTCCATATTGACTGAATTGAATGAAATAACAATACGAAGCATCGAGCAATAGAGCGTAATTTTGCAACAAATGTCACGAAATCCATTAATTAGTGTCATTCTATAACAACCAACGACTACTAAAAAACATCCTTTCATACACTTAATTACTCTTTCATAGAATGTCTAACAAGCTTGATTAAACATTATTTAAATGTAAAACACGGATTTTTCAAAGTTCTCTTCTAGCATTCTTTGTTTGAAATTATCATTTATGATTTTTATGCTGTTGTTTGTTTCATATTATTCTAAATGAAACTTTCTTTCGTTAGTCACTTTTCAGATGTTTTCCTCTAATCAAACATTTTCTTCCGTCAACTCATCATATGCATCATTGCAAATTGACGAATGGAATGCAGTACAACAAAGATTTATTAATCAACTCCCTCTTGTCATCACTATTCTTGGTCTTATTGGATTTATTGGCAATTTCTTTACATTTCTCCAGCCTGCTCTTCGCAATAATTCATTTTGCATCTATACGTTGTTAGCTTCGTTCGTCGATATTATCAATCTGTTTGTCAACCTGTTTCCACTGTATCTCAATCCATCTGCAGGCAATCTCACGGCGACCATCACCAACGGATTGATATGTAAATTGAAAATCTTCGGTTTGATGTTTTTGCCTCAATTATCGTTGAATCTGTTGATACTATCTCTCATTGATCGGTACGCATGTACTTTTGGTCCAACAACTCGATTGTACCAACTACTTCAATTGAGAACGGTTCCAAGACTGGTTTTAATCACTGTAATCATCACTTGTGTCTTATCATTCTTTTCTCCGTTAATGTATGATGTTATTCCCGGTTTTGGATGTGTCACAAAATATACCATAGCAAATCCTATGATTTACACCGTTGTCCATGGCATCGTAACTCCAACGACAATGCTAATCTTTGTATTTCTCACTTATCGAAGATTCGTACAAAGGCGAGGGCGGATTGTGAGTAGTGTCATTGATAGTTTTTAAGTGAATCTTTTATTAATTTATAGGGTGTAGTGGTCGTTACAAATAAGGATCGTCGTCGAAATCAGTTCATCGGAACGGTATTTACTCAAGTATTTGTTAGCAGTTTCTTTGTATGGTTATGGACTGGAACGTATTGGTACTTTTTGACAATACAGAATAGCAAACGAAGTGCAGAGGAATGGGCAATCGTTAACTTTTTGTTGAGTTTAACGAATAATCTATACTACTTGATTAATGTGAGATCATTTTATTTATCAACATTAACATCTCGTCTCTTTCGCGAGACAATGGTTGCAAGTTTTTTGAAGCTATTACGTCGAAATTTTCATTGACAATGACACAGACAACTTTCTTTTCTCTATGCTATGCTGTGTCTATCTAGGAAGACGATGAATTTTGTCTGATTCATTGAATTGGAAGGATGATTAACGGTATAATGAAACGTATTGAGGTATACTATCCTCCACTGGAGAAAATCTTTTCATATTATTCGCTTAGACCTTTTTCAATAAAAATATTTACACAAAGTATTCATTCAAATGGATGTAACAAGGAAGATTAATAAATATACATGATGGATGAGTTAAATGAAAATTTTTCATTAACGTTTTATGTGTAATTTTTTTATTTGTGTTTACCAAGAACCTACACACAATTAGATAAATTGATTCTAGCGTACTATGTATCTAACGCAGACAAGTGTAAATGAAAAGCTTCGAGTTAGATAGCCATTTAACTTGAGTCCATAGGAAACAACATTGAATAACTGTTTTCTTTTCAATTTCGAACTACAGGAAGAAGAATCATATCATGTTATATGAGATAATGGTCGACAGCCAACTACGTCAATTATGAATGTTGCATGATATTCTATAAATTATTCAGAGAGTTGATAGCACAGTACACGGTTGTTGCCTCGATCGCTGACGTACAAAAGAGTCTCATTTATATCCATAATAATACCGACAGGCGAATTCAGTATTGTTGCATTCGTTCCAGTCACTCCAGCAGCACCGGCATAAGTTACGCCACTCGATTGTTTGCCCTATCGGCGATGTATATATCACCAGTCTTCTTTGAGACGTACACACCATGAGGACCATCCAGTTGGTTACTACTAGAACCGAGACTATTTCCACCGACAACAGTCGTGCCATTCGCTGTTACGTGCAGATCACATTTCTGAATTCGATTATTTCCCGTATCGACAATATACAGGGGGGAATTTTATTCATCGAGACAGAGCCCATATAGGCCATTTAGTAACTGGTTGCTACTACCAGATACTCCTGTTTTCCCTGCAATCACTGTTCCAGCAGTAGCATTCGAAGACCATTTCATCACTCGGTGATTACCTTTGTCGCTAATGTATAGATTCCCTAATGAATTGTGCCGATCGTGCTGTCTGTATTGTTGCAGCCCTAATTTCCCACTACTGTGACACCAGTCAATGGATATGACGCTGAAAGAAAAAGAAACATATAGAACAGCAACTTTTGAATATCATAAACTCTGAGTTATTTAGAACGTCTGAACTACGAAGTTTCACATGCAAGACACCATTACTCTACTAATCTTTTAAACCTTTGACTATTTTTCATTCTCGTTTACGATTAAAATTATCGCGAAAACTTGGAGCTCGGACTTTCTCATGACAGATATATGTTTTCTACTCGTTGCCATATTTTGCGATGGTGGCATCTGCATGAATATGAAAGTCAAATCTAAATTGACTTGAATTATCGATGTTGTAGAATAATTCGTAAATAAAGTACACGTTTTATTACTTGTATAACAATCTAGACCCATATATGCTGGTGATATGTTAGAAAAAAATGCGTTACAAATACACTTAACACACGTATATTTGTGCATTATGAAGGTTTCTAGATAGCCAGGAACATATGATGCGTTTTATATGTAACCGAGAGATATTACATAAGTGACAATATCAGTGACGATGAGGGTGTATGAGGGCGAGGGTGAGTAAAAAGAAGACAACATTGGTCGATCCTTGTTTATCTCTGGATGCACATTTACCTTGGATTTCTTGCTTTCATCGATATTACCAATCTAAACAGTTGTTTGCTCATTAAATTAAAACGCAGTCATTATTTTTTTTATTGATATTGAAATAGATTGCAAATTTCTCAACCAATACAAAATATGAAATCCAATTTTTTGTTCATGGCACCGATCAGCAAGTCAACATACACTCTTCTTTAATGACTCGAGATTACTTCGCCATTTCTGAAGTTTCGTATGATTCGAAGGTAGTTTATGTTGTCCAATTTCAACTGCTTGTTGAAAAGATGATAGCGCCTTGTCATACCGTTTCGTATTTTGGTATACCTCTCCAATATTATTGTAGTATTCCGCGAAATACGGATGATTTTCAGGAAGAAGTTTCTGAACAAGTTCGACCGCTTTTTCGAAAGACTGAAGTGCTGCCGAATAGTCACCCTTTTTTAAATATATTTCCCCAATCATGTTGTGGACGTAAGACACATGTTTCTGCTCCACTACCGGAAAATTTTCAAGACGTTTCAGCATTTTGTCAAAATAAAAAACTGCTTTGGAGTGATCATCCATTTGTTTATACACCATACCCATAAGCATATATGATGTGGCAAATTGTATATGGTTAGGAGAGCAAGCTCGGCGCTGGAGTTCAAGTCCTCTTTCACAAAATTCAACTGCTTTTGGGTGTTCTCCAAGGAACGTCTTTGTCAAACCGAGCATTAAGTGAAAAAAGCCGACGGTGAAATAATCGATGGAAGAAGCTTTCTGCTGAATTTCGATTGCTTTTTCGAAAAAGATACATGCTTTTGAATACTCTCCAAGTTCTAAATATACCAATCCAAAATTGTTTTGTGTACCAGTAAGAATTGTATAATGGGCGGAGCGCGCTTTCTGTTCAATTTCGAATGCTTTCTCGTAACACGAAAGTGCTTTCGTATATTCTCCTACATAATGATGTAGGATACCTATACGGTTATAATCTATCGACAACAATAGATCATTCAGGCGGAGATTGGCTTTATTGATTTCAAGTGTTTTTTCATAAGCTGAAAATGCTCCGGAGAAGTTTCCCATCCTCTTATAGAGGTCACCGAGAGACGCATAGTAGCTAGCAAAAATTCCATGGGTTAGAGGGAAGTTTGCCCGACATATCTTAAATGCTTTTTCATAGAACGAAAGTGCTTTTGGATAATCGTTCATGTAACTCGACAAATCACCAAGTCCTTTGTAAGCAGTAGCTAATCCATCGTCATCTGAAGAGTATAATTCTTCAAATATTGTGAGTGCTTTTTCTGCAGAGGTACGTGCTTTCTCAAATTCAGAGTGGTGAATATACGTGATGGCGATACTCAAATAACCAAATGCTAATTCGGGATGGATGGTCGGGAGAAATTTTTCGCGACATTCAAGTATTTTTTCTTCGAAAGAGATTGCTTGCGAGTATTCGCCTAACATACTAGACACGGTAGCCATAGATTTGTAACTGAGTGACAACGACGTATGGTGATCAAGGAAAATTCTTTTGTTGACTTCAAGACTTTTTTCGAGGAAAGGATGTGCTTTTAAAGGTTCGTTCAGATGCATATGTGCAAGACCTATACCGTTATGAATTAAACCAAAAATAGGATGAATTGAAGGGAGCTGCTGTTCCTCGTAGATCTCCCGTGCTTTCGACAAAAAGATAATGGCGTCTTTATAATTAGGATCTGTTGTTAGTTTTCGACCTGCAAGGTTCAAATAAGCATTCGCTCTCTTTTCATCTTTTGATGGTTGATTGAGTAAGCTTCTATACATTTGCTCGTACTTGCCAGTTTCGCCCAACCGCATTAGTAAATTACCTAAGCGATCCCACCCTGTAAAGTTACTATTCTTTTCTCGATCAGATGCAGCCAAAGCACTGAGTTGTGTGTCGTTGTCAGCAGTTAGATCGAGATGCACACGCCACAATCTGTTGCCGTTATTCATTGGTTCGACTGCGCCAATGCGAAAGACAGTGTGCATAGAAAACAGAACTTCCTTTTCAGATGGAGAACAACTGATGTTACCTAGGTCTGCGAAGGGAGTTGTAGAAACTGCCAGATCGATCACCATTTCAAAAAATATGCCTTCCAAATCGGGATTCCACAGACTACCACAGGCAAAACGCTTTGCGAATTCTGGACTTTTGCTGGTCGACAAAAAGTTATTAAAGGCCAGTAAACCTCCTTGGCTCCGCTTCAAAATGTCAAAGTCCCTCGTCGTCATTCCTTGACCTCGATAAACCAAGACATTTGGCGACTGTCTGTCATGGAATTGTTTTAAGTAAAGTTGTTCTATTTGTCGATGAAGATCTCGAATGAAGAAGGCCATCTTTAGAATAGTTTCTACCTCAAGATTGCGCAGAGCCTGATTGAGCATTCGATAAAGAAACTTTTCGTAAGTATACCACCAAATGGGCTTGTGGTGGCGGTACTCTTGTTTGAATTGTGCTATCTTTTCTAATACATGTTTATCGTCACTGTATTGATCACGACAGTAAGTAGTTAGTTCTTCAACAGCTCCTTCATCATCGTAATCAATTTCTAAGAGGATTTCCTTGAATGATTGAGTGTACATAAAAGTTGGATCTAATCGGTCTAGACTTTCAGGAGATGTGGACTGCACCGTTGCTGAGACAAAACTCATCGAAATGCTATCTTCGTCACATTGCTGCACAGCTTGTTGCATTGATTTACAAAGTCCTTCAATTTCGATGAAGACTCCTCGAATTTTTGACCAATTCTTTGTCCATTGTTCATGATCAGCCTTGTTTTGACAGAAAACAAAAATAGTATGAATTTGAGACATGTAATGAATCTTTGATATGATTTTTTGGTCGATATCATCGGAGACAACACAGAAGATCTGAGCATCTTTGTGTTCATTAAGAAAATCGATGCATTGATCTGCCTGGCGGAAAATGTAGATTTCATTAATCACTCGACGGAAACAGGTGAGAAAATCACGATTTTCATCTTTGGATTTGTCAGCGTTGACATCCAACCAAACGAGTAGACGATTTTGCATATGACGACCACCTCTGAGGTTGGTGCTTGTAGAAGGCGGTTGACCGGATTCATTACCGTTATAATTCACTTCTTGTCCGCCGGAACTGTTCACTGCCGATTGGCTCTGGTCATCCATATCGTGTATGTGTGTCTAGTTATCGAGCGAAATATAAAATAAAAGTAAAGATTTACTAAGCGTTTCAGAGAAATGGTCACCTCATACAATAGTAGACGAAATAAGAAAAAAAGTTTTACTGAAAGCTGCTCAACTTCCATTCACTTACAAAAATAAACGACTGACTGGCTACCAGGTAAATCACCGGACAATATCAATGCTTTATCTGTATAATTTCGTTTTCTTTCCAAAGCATAGCATGTATGTTTACATATTTTTTTATACAAATTCAGTGAAAGAAAAATCAACGTGCCGAACCTACGAAGCGTGACTAAGAATAGACGATAAAGCAAACGGTGAGGCGAATATATTATATGCTCTTACACAATCAAGTGATTAAGGATGTAGGTATTTTCGTCAGAGCTAGTAATCATTGGCATTCACTAAATGCAAAAGAAACGTAGAGTAGAAGTGGTTTAATTTATCCAAAACTCGTCTCTTGTCGAAAGGAAAAGGCACCTCCAATATCAAGAACGATTGACTGACTATTCTTCGTCTTCTACGGGTCCATGTCGTGAGAATCATTGATTTATTGTTGATTTCCAGTTCAGGTTTCAATACGATCGCAATGTTCATGTAATTGTTCAAACGCGGTACCAGCCCATCGTTTGCTTTTAGCATCTTACATCATCGAGTTGTACTACTTAATCACGTGGGATAAGTTAATTGACTATGAAAATCAAATAGTTGTCTGAGTTTTTCGAGATATCGCAGATGATCTGCGGAATGCAGTGCAGTTAACGCCGTCCGATCCCAAACAAGTGAAACACGTTCAAAAAAGTTCATAGTCAAAACTATCACACATGGAATAAATCGAACAAATTTCCGATCGATTTTCGATTTTGTAGTTACCTTTGTCAACATATTCATCGAACAGTCAAAGTACTGCATTCAACACCAGCCACCTGAATTGAATTTTTAGTTATCTGTTAATTTTTCTATCTACTAGATGTATTTCGAAGAAAAAAAAATTACGATTTTGCTTCCTTGTATTTTCTTTTGAACAGTAGAATCTGCACGGACAATAATGGCATGAAAGTTTCGTATCTTCACAACTTCGAAATCCTTGTTTAACCATCACGATTAGAAACAAAAGTTTTTCCAGCAAATGCGGTACTATTGCGCGGGTGTTGGTTATTGATGAAGGTGCGTAGCTTTTTTTAGGAACGGATGCACATCATTGATTCGCCAACGGACGATTTTATTTTTATTCTCCCAACGTTTAATCCAATCATCAGAAGTCGTTCCGGTTTGGTCCACGACAACAAGAGGAAGCTGTTGATTTACTTGAGCGAAGTGACCATTCTTTCGTCTCCAAAATATTGATTCAAATAACCTAGACAAAGCACATTTTGACGATTGTAAGATTCGATTAAGTTATAAAGACGTGCTATATCACGAACATTCACAAAATATCTTGATAAAATTACAATCGAATTTAGGAAAAAAAAGAATTGACAGATAGTACTACACTCACTGTCCCTCAAAAGCTCTGTAGTAAACACAATTTGTGTCCTTTCGAAAAAGTGCGCTTGATCACGTGTCTATCAACCTGATCTATCGTTGTTCTCTCGAAATTAGTCAAAATACTCTAAAGTAGAATAACTCGTGCTTCACTCATAGAACCAAAGATAAGAATGTCGACGGTGATACATGGAAAAATTAGAGATCAATTGATGAAACAAGTAGATTACTCCAACAAACAGAGTTTTACAAATCAAATTAGTATATTTTGATATAATACGGGAAACACTTTCAATCGAGGGAATTGGGATAAAAGAAAAATAAGACAGAATAGTTGTCATTATACTTTCCATTCGTACAAAATTTTGACATCGGGGAATATTCGATTTTATTTTTTTCTAAACCGTTCAAACACAATTAAGCAAATCTCTACAAACGATGTCCATTGATCTCCGGTTTGAAAACATTCATCCAGTTTCTTAATCTCTGAATTTCATTCGAAATGTGTCTAATTTATAATTTATCTATTTTGGCGATCGATACAGTACTTGCTGAGTAATAGGTTTTTTGCATCTCGCGAGTCGCGACAGAAGTTCTCTATGAATTATATCACTACGTCTGTATTTTTATACTTTTAGTGACGAAAAAAAAATGATGCATTACTAAAGTCTGTCGTTTACAATTGGAAAGACTATAGTCAAGAATTTTATCCTCTGCTATGGAGGATATGCAATGGATTCGTTCCTTGAACAGCGTGTCATACGATGTCGATATAAAGATGAAGTAACATTTACTGATTCGTTGAGATGTAGCAGACTTGAATACCACATTTTTCAATATGTCAATACATTTTATATTAGACACTTATAAGGATATATTCATTGCCGATCATTAAAAGTATTGCATTTGATTCATCATTGAATTTCGTCTGCTTATACATTGTATTTTTCTATTTGAATACGAGCACTGCTACAACTTACATGCTTTTCAACGAAGCAATACTTTCTCTCTCTGTATCTACACCGAAAAACAAATAGAAATTGACTTTTTTCAACAAGTCAAGTATTTTTGCACATGTTCGGATACCATATTCATCATGGACAATTTCTTCTGTAATTGAATAATAAGCAACAGACCGTAGCGTTTTTAACTTTAGTGTTGACGACTGGAGTCATTTCAACGGTAAACAAAGGCATGTCGTCATTTGCGATGCATATCGATGCATTCCCCATTCTACGACTGCGTCATATATACTGTAAATTAGTGTTTTCGTCTGCAATGGTCACATATTTTCATAAATGAAAATTCTAGTATAGTATTGAACTTAATCTATGTGTTTTACATGAATAGCTTCAGTAATTGTATAGAGATTTACTTTTTATCTATAAAACAGACTAGTAGAGGTGTCCTATGGCTGTTAGTGAACATTTATTTTAATATGTTCGTATGTTGAAAAACGATCGAAGATACGAGCAGAACTATTCTCAAAATTGAAGTACTACCAGACTTATTTTGCAGGACGTAGCTCTATTAGAGAATTCTCATTCGGCACGGCATCGCCACATAAGCAAATACTGTGAAACGTTTGATCACACTAGTTATCACAGAACCTAAGTATGCGTATCGAACAAACACTTTCCTTTAGATATATAGAGCATTCAAGTGCAAAGTATGGTGACCAGTCAACGTATTCGATCGCTAAACCATTTAACACTTAGTATTCCAATTGAAGAGGAGAATAATGCTGAACAATTATTGGTAACTGCTAAAGTCAACAATGAACAAAGGCGAGTCACTGATGATCAAACATTAATGATTGTGAAACGTCGAATCAAAATAGCCAAATTCCTACAGAATCAACTGTCAGTAATATTCCATTCAATATTTTTCTAAAATCCTCTTCGACTTTCTAGAGCTCTTCTCTCCGACATAACATGTTTTCTCGGTATATTAGGTGTTATACTTATGATTTATGCCAATGAATTAACATTTACTCGTGTTAATCATAATGATACACAAATCAGTTGGTCAATTAAAATTATCATTACGATTACAACAATCTTTCTTATTCTTCTTCTTGTTTACTATCATTATTTAGATCTCAAACTTTATTCAGTTCAAAATTCATTTCCTACTTTATGTATTGCATTGACAAAAACTAAATTCGGTTGGATTATTTTTGAAATATTGATTTGTGCCATTCATCCTATACCTCGATCATATCCTTTAAACGATCCTGAGGAGTTTCGCACAGATGCCACATATTCTCATTCTCTGTCTCAAATATCTATCGATGTTCTACTCGGTTTACCAAGTAAATACTTTTTTCGTTTAGTTAAGTGTAAAATCGAAGCATTTTGTTTTGACTTAGTGTTTTCTCGTCTCTATCTACTCGGCCGTTCAATAATGTTCTATTCGCATTTGTATCATGACGGAACATTACGATCAATAAGTTGTCTTAACAAAGTTTCAGTTAATTTCTGTTTTCTAATTAAAACATATCTTCAACAATGGCCGACACGATGCCTAGCAATATTTTGTACGACATATTGTTTTATTGGAAGTTGGTGTTTACGGGCATGTAACTATCAGTCAAACGGAGAACATCTGCCGTTTCTTGATGCTGTGTGGTTATTTATAGTAACGTTCACAACTGTTGGTAAGTATGAATTTGAAATAACAAGCGAGATATACATGAATTAATTGTAGGCTATGGAGATCTTTATCCCACGACATATTGCGGACGAAGTACGTTGGAAAGATTCGACTTTATTAAATACAATCGTAATATTTAGGTATCGGGGCTGCTATTGGCTTAACCGGACTGATATTATCCGCTCTTCTGATTACCGTCCTTGCACAAAAGCTTGTGTTAACCCGTGAAGAAAAGTATATGCACACATATGTATTGAATACAAAGTTAGCGCGAGATCGCTACCAATCTGCAGCGAATGTTGTTAAATATTCGGTCAAAGTTTGGTATTTGAAACGAAAACATAATTCCAATTCTATACTACGTCTAAGCGCACGACAACGTTTATTTAAATTTATATACAGCTTGAAAGAAATTAAGAAGAAACAGGGTGGTTTAGTTGATAACTGTATGGGTTTCAACGAAGTTGTAAATATGGAACGTAAAACAAATATTGAACAGGAGAAATCACGACGACAAATAGGTGAAATGAAGAATGAAATGAAAAACTTTGAAGTACATTTGAACAAAATCTCACAACAAATGGATGAACTTCAAACAACATTGAAACTATTCGTTAATAAATAGTTGACGTTGCTTTTCTTAGTATTTCTTTGATAAAGTACCGAACTTACGATTTTCTACCAGTTCATTCTTTTATTGTAAAATAAATTTGAGGGAAAATATCGAAAGAGGATTAGAGATTACGCATTCAAAGGCATAATGACATGTCTAGTCAGATTTCAAACATCGTTTAACACTCTCAATTTACTGCACAAAAACATTCGATAACCTTTTCGCTCCCGGCTTTTATTGAGATAACTAAGATTTCTAAAAGTAATTTTTAAATACGATTTTAATTTTTTTCCGTAAAGAAAACTCAGTCTTGGTTCGGAAAACATATCAATAGTTCGTCTTTGTATGATAGTCTTTGAAGCAGTCAGGACACACGTATTGTGAAACGCGTCGAAGATCATGAGATGAGGACACCACGCATCGTCCTCGAGTCTGTTCTAGTTGAGTTGTTTGTGGTAAGAGCGCAGGGAAATGCCGAGCAGTTAAACGGACAGAAGGAAGTCTTCCGATAGTAATTCATCTCTGTGATCCGAACTTTGTCAAAATTTCCCTAATCAGATAAGTGAGGTGATAAATCATTTTGCAGTTTATAAACTACGAATGCATTGTATACTGGCAGATTTAATAAGTGAAAAAAAAACTTTCTTGTACCATTTTACCGATTTTCTTATACATTCCGAAAATGAAATTTGCATATCAACATGATCGACTCCACCCATGTTTTTGGTATAGTCCAAAATACAGACAGGTTTCTCAATCTCTTCTCCAGTTCGATGATCTACCTTGTCTAAATTCACATATGCTGTTGAATGAACGGTAGAAAGCATGTGTACTTCTCGCTTATCCTGCCATGTTAGCACCAGTAAAATATTTGTATGAGAGTATTGACTCTCGCCTCTCTTCAATTTAGTTGTAAGAGGTGGTAATCCTTTTCTATTTTTATGAACGGTATACCACATGCACTAGTCTTACTACGTCTGTGTGGAATAAAGATGATGTTAAATACTTTTTGGAGAACAAAAATCTCGACTCTAGATTATCGATGTACACAGAAATGAATCAATCGGTATTAACTGAATTAGACACAGTATGTGGACTTAATTCTAATGTGATCTATGAATCTTTCAAAAGAGAATTCGAAGATTTTACCAATTAGAACATATCTTAAATTCATGAAAGAAACCAAAAAGTAAATTCTTGTTATTCATAATCACACAAATTCTGCTTCAATAATTTATTCGATCATGATAACTTGTACTTTCGACGACAAAAATTTTCTTCCTCACATATGTCTTAATCTTAAAGATGAATAAGCAGAACGAAAATGTAATTATGAAAACAAAAGATAAAACTGGATCCCCGCCCGCGTTCTTACACTTGATAGAGAAACAAAAATTGTTTTTCATCACGAAACACTATTAATTCATTAACACACACGAATTATATTCATTGGTTTTATTTTAAACAAAACTCATCTCTTTCATCTTTTTATTAAATATTTCTAATTCATTTTGGCTGATAACACGATTTTTCTTCGTTCTAGATTTCATTGAATTTCAATTTCTGAACTTTTTGTACCTCATTATTAATTGTTCAATTTTCTTTTTGTTTTATAACTATTCCTCACTGTGTGCTATCATGTAATTGTTATGATTTCATAATAAAAAATGATAAAAACAGAATAATAAATGCAATTTTATAAATTTATTTGAAAGTGAATGGATAGATAAATAGACCAAATTATGGCCCGAATCAAAAGAATAAATCAGATTAATCGGAATCTTTTGTTAGATTTTCATGACGTAGAAAATTTGCTGTAATTGAAGCGTCAAATTTATTTTACATAGTCAGTGTTTTATCCAGGATTTTTTGGTATGCTAGATTTCAGCTTTAGAGCATGGGATCCAGATGAAACTTATGGACGTTGATATTAGAGCCAAATGATGACTTTTTACCAAAAAAAAATTGCGATCGGAGTTTGCGGAAAAAAAAAATTTTTTTTTTGGCCCCCCCGGGAAATTTAAAAAAATTTTTTTTGCATTCAATTTTTTAGAATTTCATACTAAGCTACATCGAATTTCATCGACAGATTTTAAATTTCACCAAAAAATATGGATCCGTTCATGAGTTATAGCAGTTTGCATTTTTGCTGCAGGTTGCTAAAATTTTACCAAAGATTCAAAATGCTATAACTCATGAACGGATCCATATTTTTTGGTGAAATTTAAAATCTGTCGATGAAATTCGATGTAGCTTAGTA